CTTGCTATTGAATTAATCACATATATGAGAACTATAAAGATAAAATATTGTTCCCTAGGAATCATAAAGAGAAAACTTAGGTTTGATATCATTATAAGACTTTAATGAATTTCTCATCAACAGGGTTAATGAATAAAGCAAAAGAAAAATAAAAATGAGAAAAAAGAAATAAAAAATAGATTAAAAAAAAAAGAAAAGAAAAAATATATAAAAAGGGGAAGTTGAGAAAAAGAAAGAAAAAAAAATAGAAATACAGCAAGGAGAAAAAGAGAGGAAAGTGAAATTATGGATTCCAAGAGAAACAAATATTTGTAGTTTATTATAAGAATAATATATGACGAAGATCGAGAGTTAGAAGAAAAGATAAATATGAGATTAATGAAAGGAACTTTATTATATCTTAGATAGGTAGAAGATGTTCTAAAGTCTAAGGCAAAAATTGAGACCGAGGCAACCTAATCCCCTTCACTCATCCTAACTTGCGCAACTTAGATAATCATTTGCATCACTAAGTAGGTTGAATGAAAATGCACATTGCTTCTCCAATTATATAAAAAGGGTTGTGTGAATGCGCTCAGATATGTATTATCATTTCATGAAGTAGGTTGTGAAAAATTGTATACCACTTCTCATACATGAAATAAGTGGTGTCAGTATACTCAACTTCTCATTTACATCATCACAAAATAGATTTTGTGAAAATGCATACTACTCCTCATATAGGAAATGTTTAACTCTTAGTTTGCATCGTCACACAGTAGATCTTGTGAAAATGCACATTCCTTCTTTAATTATATAAAAGGTTCATGTGAATATGCTCAAGTCCTCATTCGCATTATCAGGAAGTATGTTGTGTGAAAATGCACAATGTTTCTCCAATTACATGAAAAGGGTTGTAGAATATTTTTTATTCTTCATTTGCATTTCTACAAAGTAGGTTGTATCAAAATGCATACTGCTTCACTAGTTATATTAAAAGGATCGTGCGACTATATTTGCATCATCATAAAGTAGGCCGTGTGAAAATGCACACTACTTCTCCAATTACGTTAAACGATCGTATGAATATGCTAATTAATTATATTAAGTTATTATTATCATTGTTATATTTTTTAATAATTAATCTAATATATTTAAATAATTTTCCTAATTTTATCATTAATTTGGCTCTCTACATGATCAGGCAAAATTGGTTTACCTGCCAAAATTAAGGTCAAAGAAGAATATGGAGATCTACCACTCCCACAACAAATAATACATTGTGAGAAGGTAATATCCAAATTATTTTCATTATTTCTAAGAAAAAAAATTATTTTCATCATTAGCTAATTTAATCCACAAATACAATCTGTTCATTTGTGTCATTTTGTATTAATTTAAATTTTAAAAAATATCAATATTCATTGATTATTACATAATATCAAAATTAGTCAAATATGTCACTTTCAAATAATATATTGAATTATTTTTTACTAATTTAAATTTTCATTTTACAGGCATAACTTTGTTTTCCTTTTCAGAATTTTGAAAAACTCTGGAATCCATTAATTTTAAAAAAGGAAAATTACTTGAATGAATTCTGGAAAGTGAACAAGGGAAATACATACACATGTTATTAATAAGAAGTGTTGATGAAAATGAGATTGGTAAATACAAAGCTGATCATATATATATATGTATATATGTGTATATATATATATACACGTATATAATACTTACAGTATTCCATGCCAGAAAAAGTCAGGGGACTCATCTGGAAATTCAATTAAGTTAGGGGTATATTGCAAATTCAGATCATCGTTATTGGTATTGACCCAAACATTAAATTGCTGGTAATTACTACCTAAATCATTAGTGGCGTAATTAATATTAATGAACCCACTAATATTATCACAGCGTTGATGATCAGAACCCTCTTCGCTTATCTTCCGTTTCTGGCAACGATTATTCCAACTGGCTGTAGACGATGTCGGATTTGGATCCTCTTCTTTTGATTCCTTACACGACAACGTTTTGCATGCTCCTTTCTTCACACCAAGTCTTTTGCTCAAGCGAGTGTTCCAGTGGTTCTTCACTTGATTGTCTGTCCTCCCCGGAACCCGGCCAGCAATTAAAGACCACCTATTATATATGCATATGTATATATGTGTGTGTGTGTGTGTGTGTGTGTGTGTGTGTGTGCATATAGTTAAAAAGAGATATCAGATTAAGAATATGTACACGTATATGTATAATGGGTGTGCATCAATATATGTATATACGTCATACATATATGATTTAGGATAGATTTGTTATCAATAAAAAGTTAACATGATGAGTACGTAATATGGGTTGTCAAGCACCAAGGTCAGAGCAACCAAAACGACGAAGTATAAGTATTCATGCAGAAAAACCAGAATTTAACTGGAAAAGGATAAAAGCCAAATTGATATATGCAAGTAGGGTTTTTGGTGATAAGAGATAGTGCTATATAAATGTGTGTGTTTCGACCTACAATTTGTCTTTCTTGTGCTGTTCTTATTAAGAAGAAACGTATTTCCTCTATACGTTTGAATATTGACATATATTATTTATGTCTTTTAATTAATCACGGAAAGAGCCAATAAAAATAGCTAAAGTTCGTGTGTGTGTGTGTGTGTGTGTGTGTGTACCTTAGTGTAAGTATTACAATATCATTAAGACTGATTTAATTAATTTTAAGTTATTAATTTTAATTATGTATTTAATTAATATAAATCCAATAAATATAAAAATATTCATAACATATAATTAATTTAATTATTTATATCTACTAGTCTATATGTACACTTAATGAATATATAATTAATTTGATTTATTTATATAGATTAAAATAAATATAAACATATTTATGATATATAATTATTATTTATTTTTTAAATAAAAATTGTACATTCGATATATAGAAGCTAATTAAAATGCAATAAAATTATACAACCTTTAAATGAGGACCAACATTTATATTTTATATATATATATATTATATACATTTCCTATTAGTTAATGTATTAATTGTATACTATTATACCCTTAATTATCACATGTTTAATAATTATTAGAATAGTTATTTTACTTAATATATTTTATTTATTTTGTTAGAAAAATGCATATTCGAATTCATAATTAGTAATATATACATTTATATCATATATGGTATTTTCTTTATTGTATATTATAACTAAAGCTATTTTAGTTTATGTAGAATAAAAACATGAATTAATAATGATAAAATAAATATAGGTAACTAATTTATATTATTTATATTCAACAAATATAATTTGTTATTATTTTTAGATTTTTTTTTCTATAATTATTCAAAAAAATGAAGATAAAATGGAAGAAATATATTTAATATAATTATATTAATTGTATATTTCATCGAATGGAAAAACAAAAGAGAACATGCAGAGCTTCTGTCACAATGCTAATAAACATATGTAGGCAGAAATTAAGAATTAAGAAAGAAAGAAAGAAAGAAGATACGAGAAGGGAATCATTAAAAAAAGATGTATGATTCAGAAAATGATACATACATATTTATATATATATATATATATACACACAGACAGAGAGAGAGAAAGAGAGAGAGACAGAGAGAGATAATACCTATTTCCTAGAAGGTTATGGAGGCGAATGATAAGATCTTCTTCTTCCTCAGAGAAATCTCCACGTTTAACAGTAGGGCATAGATAATTAAGCCACCTTAACCTGCAGCTCTTGCCGCCTCTCTTCAATCCTACAGGCCCTTTGCATTACTTAATATTGAAACAGTCTATGTTTTTTCTAATCAGAAACTAATCATATATATATATATATATCATGAAACAAATTAATTATCGAATATCTAACCATATTAATTAATTAATTAAAAGATTATATATATATATAGATATATATATATATATACCTGTGAGTTTAGCAATGCGACTCCACTTGCCTTTGCCATGCAGGGTTATGTAATCGATCAGAATCTTGTCTTCCTCCTCGCTCCATAACCCTTTCTTATATTCACTCTTCCCGTCTTCCATTCTTAATTCTTGAAACTTCTCCTCTTCTTCACTTCAGATATTTACAGAGAGAGAGAGAGAGAGAGAGAAATCCTAGATAGTCTGAGAAGCTAATTGTCTTTGGAAGACACCGTTGTATCATACATACATACATATATATATATATATCATCATTATACTGATATATAGAAGGAGAGAAATAAGATTACAGCAAAAACTTATTAGGCACTCCAAAACATATATGAGTTGGCCCTGGTATACTTTTAAGTTTTTTTTTTTTTTTTATATATATTATTCTTTTAACGAAAATTTGAAATAAACAAATTACATTTATGAATTCTGTCGATTCAACTGGAGCACTAAGACGCTTTATAATTACTTTAAACGCAGCAGAAGTTTAACTAGTTATAACGTGGTTAAGTACAATACTCTTTTAGTATTTGTAGAAGTTTAACTATTAATTAATCAACATAATAACCATATATAATTGACAATTAACCGAACAAAAACAATAGTTATAGAATAACTACAGTGGGTAAAAATATAATAAAATTAATTAATTATAAGATTAGTTATATATATGATATAATTTTAAGAACTAATAATACTTTTTTTTTTTTTTATACGTAATACGTGATACCCACCAACGTTTCACTAGAAATAAAGTAGGCTCAAATATGGTGCTATTAGTTTGCAAGATTTTAAAAAATAAATAAATAAATGGGGTCATATTATAAATAGTTAATTATATTTATTTAAAGCCTTTATCATATATATTTTTAAAATTAATGCATAATTCATATTATAATTAATTAATCCTATCTAAAAATTCAGCTAATATTTATCGTGTGTGTGTGTGTATAGCTACGGGGGATGTACCTGAGTTTTGGATATGTTTCTGGTTTTTGGTAATACACAGTGAAATTCAGGACTACAAGTCTGTAATATAAGTTAAAACTAATTTATTACGATAATGACCAATTATCAAAGGGCTACTTAAACGAATGCATGTTTAACCAAGGAGACTATACATTATAAGATACTCAGAATTTACCATTGAAGGTATAATTTTTAACTCTAAATTTATAACGTTTTCATCTCTAATGTTATAAACAAAGTATGATTTATCGTGAATTGAATTGTCAGAATTGACTGTAAATTTAATATGATTCACTTGATTCTATAGAATTCATACTAATCTAATCAAGTATTTAAATTATCTACTAATAAAATAATTTTTTTTTTTTTTTTTTTTTACAAAATACAACAACTAATGCAGCATCTATTTGTTATCATTCTTGAATTTTTGTATCAACACCAATTTTGTAGTAATCACAGCTAGTACATATATACCAACCCGATATGATAATTAATTTTCCCATGAATATTACTCTCTCTCTCTCTCTCTCTCTCTATATATATATATATATATATATATATAGATTGTTTGCCTTGTCTTATAAAAAAGAAATTACTTTGGTATATGACAGAAAACATATTTGTAATATATATTAAGATCTGTTAATAACAGCTACGCCTCGTGAATCATCAGTAACTTAAGTAAAAAAACTAGTGATTGCATGTATGTGTGTGTGTGTGTGTATCCATACAAAATAACATGAAAAAACACAGTCAGGGTGATGATGCAGTGCAAATTAAAACCCTGTAACTGATGATTGGAGGATGAAGAAAGAGATTGAAAAAGAAAGGTATAGGTAGGGTTGATCTTACTTGAGTTATACCAACCTCACATGCAGCAAGAAGCCAAGGTAACCCGTGATAACGTCATATTCAGAACCATCATCAATGCCATGCAAAGCTTTTGCGTACTTTCGTCTCAGAAAATGCATATAAGATATATATGTGTGTATTATATGTGCGTGCAATTAATAGTGGCTTAAGTGTAATTGTAGGAGTAACCTTCACATAAAACAAATCCCATTTAATGGCTGTTATGGACTAACCTTAATCCAAGATGCTCGTGTACATCACCAATATTAAATGCACTGAACTCATACCCATATATATATATACAAAGACACATATATACAATATCGTACATCAATGAATATCTTAAGAGTAATAAGGTACAAAATCTTGGTGTTACCTTATTAGAGTACTATATATATATACACACACACACACAACATGATCTTATACAAGTAATGCTCCAAAAATTAAAGCGTCAGCAATTGTTGTTTTTAAGTATAAAGAGTACGATATGAAACGAGTCTGGGGGTGGGTTTCCAGCTGAAGTTAGTAATTAATTGTACGAAACCCTCAATAATGCAGTCTTAAAGAGAGTGTCTAGGATTGCCTGAGATAAATGTCTTTAAAGCAGTAAATTACTTATGGCATGTAATAAAATGAAAATTTATTTATCCCATCCTACTGAGTTGAAGAAAAATTAACTCATTATTTTTTTAATATTTATTATAAATAGCTGATTACTTGTATGTATGTATGTATATATGTCGTCAGGTGCTGATTTTTCTACTTTTCCCACCAATCAAAATATACTTTTTTAATTAAAATATTTTTTTAAAAAAAAATTATATATTTTAGTATAAAGAAACTATAAATATGTTTTGACTCACATTTAAAATTGGTGAAAATGACAGAAAGTTTGGTCAAAATAGACGTCTGAAAAAGTCTTAATAATACATAAAGCTCATTTTATTGGTTTTTTTTTTTTTTTTTTTTTAAACTACTAAACAACCTTTTCTGCGAAATGCACGTGCGCGCACACACGCCCCTCTAAATATATCACTTTTTATCTTCTTATTTTTAAATAACAATAAAAAGGTCAACTATACTTGCGTACTAATTATAAAAGTTACAGTTCAGTCGAAAACAAATATTACTTTATCAACTCAATCCAATTAATCAAACAGATGTTAAAATCGATAACTTGCCTTTTTATTCTCAAGAAAACACACAACAAACCCTCTGCGAAACACTAAGAGATCTTTTTAAAATGCAAATGCAAACTCAACACACGAATTATTGTTGCATTTAAAAAAGATGCTTGACAATTTTCATCCATTGCATACAAGCATGCACGATCAACCAAACACTCCCAAGTTCTTAAGTCCAAACCAAGACCAAACAGAAAGACTCAAATAGAAAAATCACGGTACAAGTATGTATAAATGGGATGCAATATAACATTTGACATGTAGTAGTATAAAATGGAATTCTTTCATATGAATATAACTGATACTAGACCACCTATTTAGTTACTTATATGCTTCTAATCTTGTGAGAACTCCTGACCCACACACCCCCTTCCTTCCTCCCTTTATCACCAAACAAGAGGTCCATTAGGCTTCTTAGTTCTAAAGCCGAATATCAGAAGGATTGAGGAAAATTAAAGAACTCGAAACTATTTCCAGAGGCATAAGGAAATGAGATCAGCCCATCATCAATCTAATATTCTGGTATCTCTATACCTCGTCCAAGTAACATCTGTTTTTCCTCAATATAGCATCCTAGATCCTTTTTCCTGCATTGTGCAAAATCACAATTCCACTTGAGATATTGAAAGACTATGTTTCAAATACAGAGAGAACCATAATCAAATAATTCATTCGCAACTTATCAAGGCCAGTAAATAACAGACCTTTCTTGAGCAACTTCAACCTGTTATTTTATCCAGTAGTTTCTTGACCATGATTCTCTGCTGCACCCCACTCAAAGATTCAGAATTCATTATTGCATTAGCAACAATAATGGTCGTACGCGGATCAACACCTTTCACCTAAAACAAAAAGAAATATAAAAGTCAAAGAGGTATAATATTAGAGAGCATTCCATTTATTAACAAAATTTATCAAAAATTCAGAAGACAAAGTTGCGAAAAGATTTTAGTTTTGCAGGTCAGGCAAATAAAGACGCTGGCAAGAAATAGATATGGCCAAACATTTAAAAAAAAAAAAAAAGTATTTTGTAAGTGCCGCTTCAGAAATTATACCCAAACCCTGCCATTTAAGCCTACTGCTATCTCAAAGGAGAGTTTACTTCCAAGAGCCTCTAGAACTGGACAGCTTGGTGAACTCAGCAGCCTAGACAAATCAAGAATCACAAATTTAAAAACAAAAGAACTCAAAATGGTTTAATATGCATCATAGAATAAAAATCTGCTCAAATGGTACTTTCAAGAGTAGGAAAGCCAAATACTTTACATTCTTGATAGACCAGTAGAAGTTTCAAACATGAATCCTTCTTTAAGAAGTCCAAATTCTGCTGCTTTTCCACTGGCTGTTAAGAAGAGTATGTAGTCAATGCTAGTGATGAAAAAAAAAAAACTGGAAATAAGCCAAGATAACTACCAAAAATTCAACTAACCATCTGTGCATGATAACTCAGGATTAATTCCAGTGGTTGCCTTCACAACTCGAGCATATAGCAGAGTGCCTACCTGTCTAAAAAAGATTAAATAGAGAACCAGAGCTAAAAACACAGTCCATCTTTTGCTAACGGTATCGCATGGTCAGATGAAAATACAATATGGGTAAGTTTTCAGGCAAAAACTACCAGTTGTAAAAAGTTTGATATGTCAAAAGAACATTTATGAAGGCTACACACTTAACATTTTAATGAACTACCACCTTTTTGGGTGAATAACTGACCCTTCTGAACACTTCAAGTGGTTAGAAAGCTTCACCTTGTAAAATCACACGAGTCTACTCTTCACCTTTTGATAGTATAGCACTAACAAGGAGTAGGCAACTCAAAAATTATGGACGATCAGCACAGCATACTTGTCTTATTTCTGTCATCTCCCTCTTAAAAGTATGACAGAGATGAAACAAGTAGAAAAGAAACTGCCTATGGAAGAAGAAAAGGAAACAAAGATAGTAAGTTTAGGTCGACAAAAATGTCGAAGAAAAAAAAAAACAATGGAACTGCTCTCTTAAAGAATCAGGATTCTGCCAAGACACTTCAAGAATTTACAGAAGCATCAGTGAACTCCCTACACTAGGCATTCCTGAACTATTCTTCACAAGGGTGTTTTGGATGAAGGGCAATGGAGAAAAGTTATTCATCTCTCAATTTCCCCTTACTCTAATAAATATCTAATTCCCTGAATTAGGATCAAATGAAAGTAACAATAAATTTGGTTAATAAAAAGACCTCTTAATGCTAATAAACATAAAATTTATTTATTCCTGAACATGCATGAATTATTTATGTATATGAATACACACATGTTTTACGTTTACAGAAATGCATATAAATATACAGGATACATATACCAGATAAACACACAAGATTGTGCACATTCAGAAAATATGTATACTCATATTATACACTACATATAAGTTTGCGAACTGCATCACACCGTTTATACACTTTGCATACATTGCATATATAGTGTGTTTATATAGCGTACATATACAACAAAACTATGTACACTGCATATATACGGCATAGATACAATGCGCGTCATATATACTGCATGTGTACAATGTACATTCACTGCATATATATTTTGGATGGCGGAACAATTCCTAAAAATCCCATCCTTGAGTTATTTCTGGGCTTTTTATCTAGACAGCCATGCTTCTGGTAATTTTAGATACTTCAGTGTTTTTCTAGGCATTTCAGACACTTGGGCAAGTGTACGAGTCGTTCAAGTGCTTGTACATGTTTCTAGACAATGCATAATTACATGATAATATAAATAAATAATTGGGGTTAAATAATGATAATGGTAAATTAGTAAAAAAACACAATTTTCATTTTTTTCCACCCAGTGACCAACATGGTAAATTGTTTTTATCTGTTTACTTTCCTCAATTTTTTTAGCACCAAAACAAGAGGACATTTCAATATTTTTTGCCTTCCTTTTCCTCCATTTCATTTCCTTTCCCTTCCCTCCCCTTCTATCTCTCAAACACAGCCGAAGGATACTGGAAATCCAAAGTCCGTGTCCTTGAAAAGATATTTTATCAGTAATTGATCTTTCATCATCAAGAAAAGATCATTATATGCATGGTTTATTATCTGAGTGCAAATCACAAGACAATGCTGTAAGATATATATTTGTACGTATGTATATTTATATTGAAAGGGACATACTGCACAATCCCAAACCAACAAGAACATATCTCTAGCTATGACATACATCACATTTAAAATAAGTAAAAAATTATAAAACTCGAAGCAGTAGGCACCTCAAACTTTGGTATGTTTCTCCTGGTTCCTCCTTCAAAAGCAAGCACAGGCAAAAATGCAAGTTGAGGCCCTTTTATGTCCACCAGAAAGTTCTGTAATCAACTAAGGTATAAATAAAGCTGAAGCAGATAGCCTCATTCAACACAAATTGACATGCAACAAGAAGGAAAAGGAAGCAACTAAATTTTTATACATGAAAATATTATACAACATTTTCCAACACATTATGCTAAATGCCACAACTCATGCACTCATTGAAGAAATTAGAAACCACTGCAAAAGCAGTGATTCTTTGTCAGTTCTATTCATTTTTAAGTAACGATTGAAGAAATAATAATAATAATTCTTCATAAGAACAGGAAAAAAAAAACCATCTATCCTCATGCATCTCTTTCTTTCTCATTCTTTATACTTTTACCAGAAAGGAAATTCGAAAATTTATTAGATGAAGATACACGGGATAATACTTCTGAGGCTTAAAGGCATCATCTTCTCTGACAATATCATGCCTTTTCAGTCAAATAACAATTAAGTGCCACTAACCATTTATTTTTAAATCTCTGTAATCCTAATATTATCCATTAACCCTCCTCCATCCTATAAATATACCATTAGCATGTAACTTTTACTTTACAGTTTATGAAGTTATGGCAAGAAAACTCTCTTTTAGCATGCCCATAGGAATTGGTACGAACAAAGATGAGGGAACTGATTTTTACTTTTTAACGCCTTTGCTCACAAGAGAACAAACTATTAGCTCAGATAATGCAGCAATGCACCACTCCGCAGATTAATATCATGTACTTCCATACGGCAGAAAAGAATGACAAAATAAAAATCCATCTAAATTCAGACCAAACTTAAACTCAAATAGGAATTATCACAACACTAAACTGAAATTTTGTATGAGAAAAATATCAAACTTCTTACATCTGCTCTGGTATCCACCACAATTCCAAGAACGTGATCTTCTACACAGGGTACGTACTGTAAAATAGTGATAGAATATCAGAAGCTAGAGTAAAAAAACAAATAAAGAACATGACCTCTCTGACATACAACCTTACTGCAATTTTTTCAAAACTAAATACTAACAATAACACCATTTGAAAGGAAAAGAACCAGATCAATTTTGAAAACTAGTGAAGTAGGCATAACTTGTTACTCACCCTTTTCTGAGAGTTTTCAACCCAGTATTTGTTTGGCTTCGAGTACCTAAGTTTTCCAGCCTTCATAACAGATATTGCATCACAATCCTGAAAGTAAGCAATACTGATTTTAATTACTCTATCATCGGTTCTAAAGAATGAAATCATCAAGCAATGTCTCTGACTATATTTGTTTTGCCTTTCAGTCTTTGTTTAAGAGTTAATGATTTAAGATGTAAAGCATCATGTATAAACAACTGCTTATAATCATATTCTTAAGGATGTATCCTCCAAAAAATCATCCTTGATGAAGCCCTTTCCTGAGCATATAAACTATATTTTACACAGAAAAAGAAACCGCCAATTGACTCCCATAAACAACCCCCCTTTCCCCATGGATGCGTGGAAAGTGAAGGGGAAAAAGATTCAATGACATAAAAGTTTACACACATTTGCAAAAAAAAAAAAAGAGATGGAAAAGCTGCTAATTTTTATATCTTAGAACCATGTAATGAAGGATAGAAAAATTTAAATAGAACCAAGAACCCAAGACATTAAACTGGAGAACGGGGATACTGTATGCAAAGATAGACAAAAACCAAACGTGCAAACACACACAGATAAATAATAGAGAGAGAAAAAGAGAGAGAGAGAGAGAGAGAGAGAGCGAGAGAGAGAGAGAGAAAGAGAGAGACCTGACGTAGACCACCACCAAGCCTGATGATCTGGTTAGTCATCGTTGAAAGGTCAAGTACAACATCTCCTGGAACCTAACAAGATTTTGCATAGGAAAATAAAGAAAATAAAGCTACGATCAAAACCATCTGGAGCTTTAAGCAACAGATAAAACCCAATTGAAAGAACAAAAAAAAAAATGGCTGAGGAAGTATACTTACTACTGTCTGATCGATAAAGATGGATAGGGGACTAGAGAGCTTATTTTCCATTTGTTATGCTCTCTGCAAAACAAACCAAATCTCAAGTTTAATATGAATCAGTAGAGGGTGCAGCTTCTATTGAGCAGAGAGAGGAGAACCTTCATTAACTGATTACCTGAAAGAAAATGGTACCCTTCTGTGTAAAAGCTCAGGGATGAATATCAAGTAGACAGGTAGAATGAGATCCAATGCTCCACCATCAATGAAGGAGTTGCGTTTGCAAAGAAATGAGTGTATCCTACTGATTTTTGCGAATGCTACAGAATCATGGCATAACTAAAATTACAAATTACGGCCAACATCATTGTAGCACTACCCAATTGAGTTTCACCCAAACTACATAATCATCTTCAAAGAATCAGACACAAAGGCCTCACCACATTCCCAAATCTAGGCAATATGAATAGTTATAGAAACAATAAATTTACCACAATAACATGAATTCAGCAGTCATTTAGAAATTGAATACAAGTTCTTTAATTTACAAAATTTTAAAAGCAACTTCACTTTATCTTGCAATTCCACTGTTCAGCTAGCCACGAAAAATGGTTATGCTTGTCTCTTCAGCCATGGCAATTTGACCATTACAGTTAACATGACTGAATAACCAAGTAAAAACAATAAGATAACTAACATCCCACTTAGTTCATTTCCCATTAAATTACTAGCTAATTTCATGTTATAGTCATCATAATAGCATTGCTATGCACATTCAGAACATGACATTTGGCAGCTGGGTTACCTCACCCCACCTTCAGGGTGGAGAGCGAACTAAGGGAACCTAACGGTATACACCGTATCCTAAACAAATAAAGCCACTAAATTTTATAAATATAAATAGTCATATCTATTTGTATTCCGCAAGAAAATCAAACAAAAAATGGACTTTTACCCCAAAAACAGGAAACAATGACCGACCACAATGGTCCAGTTAGTCTTATTCGGTCACCGTCATTTGTTTCAGTTTTCTCTGTATTTAATCCATGAAAAGAACAGCGGAAATTTACTGAAATGCTCGTCATGTGAGCAACATCAAACCATAAAAGTGCAGAGCAGATTACCAAACTAGCAGCACCTAAGTCAAACAAACATAATCATTTGAAATCATTTTAAACCAAAACAAAAAATCCAAAACACAACGGGGTAAAATGGCGCTGTCCAGACCAGAAGATGACGACGTCACAGAGAAAGCCGGAGGATCCGAGGGCGAGGCAGCGGCGCTGTGAAAGAACCAATGAACCAAAGATAAGAGTATGTGAGCAGTTTGTGAGCAACGACTCCCACGCTGCTGTTGCTGAGCGAAAAAGCAGAGACAGACGGGAGATAGTGGGTATGAATCAGAGCTGATAGAATTGAGAGGGAATTGGGCTTGCTGCGGCCGTCTTGCGAGACTGAAATACGACCACCAGAGAGAGGTTAGGCATTAGGGTTTTTAAGTGATGGGCTGAGTTTCTTAATTATACAGGATGGGCTGGGCAAAAAAGTGAGTGTTCATATTCCGGTTCAGATGAAAAAATTAAATTGAACTAACTTGTTTGGTTTCATCCTGGATTCATGTAAAGGAGGATCAAAATATGTAATTCAATTTCTAGTCTGAATTTAGATAACCCGAAATACACCGGATTACCAAAAACAAAAAACAAAAAAAAAGCATCTTTTATTAAAAAAAAATTTGAAGTTTAAAAAACAAAATTCGATTCTAATCAGTCTCAACCGTTTCTATCTAAACCAAAATTAAAACAGTGCGATCTTCAATCCCGACTCCTATCATATTCAGTCATTCATCTATTTTATTCAATTATCGATCTAATTTCTTTTCGTTTCAAACTGATAAGCAGCTCACGACAAATATCGGGATAAATGAAGAGCAATTATAAAGTGTTCAAAAGGCAGATTAGTAATTTGCAAAGAGAAATTATGTTCTAAATTTTGTTGGAAAATTATATAAACAGAAGATATTTAAAGTGTTTAATTAAATCAAGTTTTGTGCTCCTATAACATTTAATAAATGTCCATTGATTAATGGTTCGATCTTCTAAAAGAAATCAATTGATAAGTAAAATTTTCCAATTCTCATTATTTAGGAAGTATCATCGTGTTTGGCTACATCAGAAGTGATACGATACTTACCCGTATACCACACGATACCCTTCATTTTTAAGCTCTAGGGTTAAAGTTTCTGTCATGGCATTTATCTCCTGTGACTGCGAGTCTGAATTATCACTAGCGACAAATATATGAAAAATTATTATTAACTTCAACCCAACTGCAACCCACCTGCTTTTCAAGTCCCAAATTTTTTATTTCAGACATAATTCTAACACTTCGATTCAATTTTCCAAAATCTTCGTATAAATTAGCAAGAAGGAGATGATAACCGGTGCTAGTAGAATCAAGTTGGAATATCCGACTAGCCACAAGTTCTGCCATCTTCTGATTTCTGTAAGTTCTACATGATCCAAGCAATGAACCCCGCATGTGATCATCAGGGACAAAAGGCACGGCCATGATCAGATTATAAGCTTCATTTAAATGGCCAGCTCGGCTTAGAAGGTCAACCATACATGTGTATTGCTTCAGTTCAAGCTCAAGTTTGTATTTTTGAACCATATCTTCAAATAATTTCCAGCCCCATGTCCACTTTTCCAGTGTGACTACATGCAGACAGCAGAGCTGTAAAAGTTACACTGTCAGGTTTCACGCCTGCGTCTTTCATATTTTCAAATGAAACAAACATATCTTCTGTGAGACCGTGTATCCCAAACCCCAATATGATTGAATTCCATGATAGTGCATTTCTTTCAGGGCTTTTCTCAAATATTCTCAATGAGCTTATTATGTCACCGCATTTGGCATAGGCACCTATCAGAGAATTGCTTACTAGAACATTGGTCTCTAATCCTTGCCGGAATAAGTAACAATGAAGCTCCTTGCATAGTTTCATGGCTGACATCTGGGCACAAACAGAGATAACACAAGAAGCTGTTATGTTATTTGGTCTAATTTGTTCAGATTGCATATCATGAAATGCTTTTAAAGCTTCATCACGAGAGCTGTAATGTAAAAATCCAGATATTACAGCATTCCATGAGATCAAATCCCATGATGACAACCGAGAAAAAACTTTCTTAGTCGATTTCATATCTTCACATTTAGCATACATATCAACTAAGGCACTGCCAACAAAAGTATCAGATTTGAGTTTCATTTTCACTTCTAATCCATGGATTTCCTTACCTCTAGTCAGAAGACTCAAGAATGAACATGCCTGCAATACAGCTAAAAGGATAACAGAATCTGGGGAACCCTTTTCTAACATAAATCTACGGAACAATTCTAGTTTCCTAGCAGGGTAACCGTTCTGAGTACAATTGGATAGTACTGCACCCCACATGACCAAGTTATGATTTACAGACCTTCCGAAGATGTTAAAACCAGTTTCAGGATCACCAAATTTAAAGTACATCTCCATGACGGCAGTTTTAACTCTTACATCATTTCCAATCCCAAGTGCTAAAACAAGTTTATGGATTTGCATTCCAAAAGTTAAATCTGCTAATTGTGAGCAGAGAACTAAAGCAAACACAAGCGTTGAAGAATCTGGACTTATCCCTAATTCCAACAGCTCGATTAACAATTTGAATGCTGATTGAAAAGACTCATTAGATATATAGCCCGCAATCATCACGTTCCATATTACTATGTTTCCCCTGGTCAATTCCCTGTCAAGGTCGCTCTTAAAAATAAGCTCAGCACTTCTAGTATCTCCACAACCCATGCACATTTCAATCAATTGGCTAACTGAAAACTCATCAAAGTCCAACCCACTTTTCAAGAGAAATGTATGAATTTCTTTCCCGTGAATCAATGACTCAATGGAAGAACAGGAAGAGAGCGCTGACAAGCATGAAACGCGATTGGGATACACACCATGTTCCTCGATCATCCTGCTAAAGATCGTCAACGATGCAATATAATACTCTTGATTGGGAAAACCCAGATATCATGGCATTCCACGACACTATATCTCTCTCACGCATTTTCTCAAACACCTTAACGGCATCAGCAACAGCCCCGCATTTCCGGCAGATACTTAAAAGCGCATTCATAATGTAAATATCATTTAAAAAACCTAATTTCAAGACATGTCCATGAATCTACCTGCTCTTATTGACATCAGAAAGCCCACCAAATGCCTTAATTAAACGAGAAAAGCATCGGAATTCCTCGACCGGGAAAGCATATTCAAGCATATCAATATAAGCCACTACAACACCTTCAAATAATCCGCAATCTGTGGATTCTGTAATCATCTTGCAAATCGATGAAACATTGGTTTCAGGATTATTGCCCAAACACCCATCTCGAATCACCGATTTTCTAGACGGGTTTCCAACATATTGTGTCAAAGTAGAACAGTTCTGAGAAATGAAAGAAACTGAAAGCATTTCAGGGCAGTAGAAATTAGCATTGGGAGTGTGAGGTGCCTTACATAACAATGGCAGATCTGATCGATCTTTATAGTGAAAACATGGGTGAAGCGAACGTAAATTTAGTAGCCTGGAAGTGTCCATTACTGGGATGGCAGGAGTCGGAATGCGGGAATCGTCCTTAAACTTCCTGCTTTTGGGTCCCGGCCATTGCATCCTGAAATCATGTGGGCACTGAGTCAAACGATGTCGTTTCGCACTCCGGCGGTTTTTTAAATTTTTTTTCCTCTCGTTTCGTTTTTTTAATGGTAGAAAAAGTTCATCATGTTTGAAGAAATTGAAACGAATCTAATCATAAAAAATAAAAAATCAAATATATACTCTTCAGTATAGAATTTTAAGAATCCCATCCATACTTTTGTGAATAACAGTTCATCCTATTTTTTTTAATAAAAAAAAGGTTGAAAGAAGGAATCCATTAAAGAAAAAAAGCTAAGAGGTGGAGAACACTTCCATATACGTAGCACCATATTAACAAATGAGTTATGGAAATGAATCTTTACCATTCAAAAATATATATTAACTGTAACGTGCCACTGTTTTAATACAATAAATTTAGGTGTAGTACATGATAAGTTACGGTATACAGCAGAAAAGAACAAGTACAAATGAATAATACAGCCAAATCTCAACCCGCAGTTACTTCATTCACTGCCAAAGCACAAATCTTAAGAACAAATCCACACACCTATCCCGTTTTCCATTTTCTTTCTCTTTTGGGAGCCGTATAGTCCAATTCAATCTTAAATATATGTATATATAAACGATCACCCGTATCATACCCTAACGCTGTCATTGTTTATAATGTGAGAATTGGCATCAAGGAGGGTCTCTAATGATTTTGCTTTTCTGCTTCGTACTCTGCCTGCCTCTTTCAATAACTCAGATAACCTCCTTTTCTCATCATCCACATCTGGATTTGCTGTCCCAAGCTTTTCCTCCCTCATTCCAACAACATGCTCCAGGATTTCAATTGCATCATCCAATCTATATTTGAAGCAAATAGCAGAAAATCAATAAGAAACCAATAAATAATTCTGTTATACAACTAACAAGTAGCCTCTATGTCAAATCTATCAGTGGTAATCGAATGAGTTAGTAGGAATGCAGTAAAATGTTTATGCAGGTGTCAGTCTAGGGCTTATTCTGGTAAAAAAAAAATTTATAATTTTGAGATCAAATATACCTCCTGCATCTATCTGAAATTTACTGGCACAGAAAACATGAAGAAAGAGAAAACACAAGATATATGTTTCCATGTGCTCACATAGCACCTCAACTGACTTGGTTGAAATCTTAACATCTAGGCAAAGGAAAGAAATCATATATACAGTTATAACATGCTACATAATATAGGCCAACCAAAAATAGTAGCGTAGATTTTTGGTTACATGGAAAAGAAGCACTTGGGTAAAATCAGAAGGAACCCAGAAGAGTTTGCTTGAAAGAATGTCAGTGGCGTAAGACTCAAGAAATGAAGAAAGAATGGTATACATTGCATACCTTCCAATTGCATCATAAGTGCCAGCTAGATTGCTATACACTCCGAGCGTGTCAGGATGATATGGTCCATACTCTTGCTCCAAGATACTCCTGGCCTCTTCAAACAAACCAACAGCCTCTTGTATGGCATAGCGTTGAACACAAGCCAACCCCATTTGGTTAAGAGCAATGCCAAAGAAAGCAGATTTCTTCTCTCCACTAGCGCGGAGCTTCGAAATGGCTTTATCAAAGCAGATGTAAGATTCAGAATAATTTCCTAACATGTAGTGGAGGACCCCCATCTGGGCTTCAATTCCAGCAATGGTGCTTTGCTGACCAGGGGCATCATCGTATGTCTGCAATGCTTTTTGTAATAACTTGATTGCCTGCTCAAGCTCATTCAGTGATTCATAGATGGCCGAGACATCAGTGAGACCACTAGCAATCTCTTCTGGAGGGATCCCAGGTAAAGGCTTCTCATAGATTCGAAGGGCATTCTCACAGTAAGACTTTGCATCTCTTACTTTCCCTGTCCTGTTGTACAAGTCTGCCAACCGAACAAACACAGAAGCAACAGTGGGATGATTCTCTCCCTTGGTGGTCTTAAAAGCTGTGAGTGCTTTCTGGTAAGCAAAAACAGCCTCATCATATCGAGATAGAGATAAGTACGTGTCTCCAATGCTGCAATCAACAGAAGCCACCTCTGCCTCCTGACCATTTGCTACCATTGCCATACTGGCTAAAACAAGATGCTCAAGGGCAGCTTCATGATTTCCCTTTGCTTCACATATAAGACCCATGAGCCTCCTATCTGCTGCTTCTTCAAGAGAGGCTGGTGAACCATTTTCTCTATGAATATCAAGAGCCATCTGACATAGCTTTTCAGCCTCATCAAATCTCAGTGCTTGAACATGAGCTTCAGCCAGATATCTACAAGTTTCACCAACTCTTGAATCTGTTTCACCTAGAACATTTTTCTGGACTTCCAACCCTGTTGTATAACACATTATTGAATTCTCAAGCTGGCCCAACATTGCATAAGTATCACCTAACTGCATATGACCAGCAAATTTAGCAAGGGCATGTTCTTGACCTTTCTCAATCACTGGAATTTGAATTGAATGCTCAAGAACTGGAATTGCCTCACTGTATTGGCCTAAGCTGCAGTATATTGCTGCGGTGACATGCAAGGACATTACAACATCCAAATTGGGTTTCCCATTTGAGCATTTTTCAAATGCATTTGCTGCTCGAAGAGCTAATTCAAGAGCTTTCTGCAGATTTTCCCCTGAAGAAATCAAATCCCTGGTTTTCTTGAGCAAAAATGGCCCAAGATCTGGATTTTCTAATCCATCTGAATCTTCATGTCCATTTGGTAACTTTGATCCTCTGCGTTTCTTCAAGGAAACGACTCCTCCATGTGCTTTTTTTAGATTCTTATCATTCCTCTTATCAATAGGAGGTTTCTCAGGACTCTTTCCCTTGGGGCTATTTTTCAATGATGGGCTATTTCTTGGTGATGCCTCTGAGTCCAAATGCAGACGAGTGGTTTTCTTTGAGTTCCCTGTAGAAACAGATTCTGTACCAGAAGATTGAGACTTGTCCAACTTCCCTGACTCGTTACCCCCAGATGAATTTCCCTTCTTAGGAGAGGAGATACTACCAGTATCATCTTCTGGCTTATCCACCTCTTCCTCCTCCATGATTTCAACCTCCTTCATCTCTCCTCCAACAAGATGACGCAACTCAGAATCAATCCTAGATTCCTCACCATACGATCCAAAGCTCTGCCTTGACTGTGACTGATCAGTACTCTGCATGTCACATACATTCTCATAGAGCTGCTCAATTGAAGTGTTAACCACCCCATCAACGGGAACATCCGGATGCATGCTATGAGGGCTTTTTGGACTCAATGTGCTCCTCGGAGACATATTGGAAACCGAATTTTCCTTAACAGGTGTAGAATTTTCATTAACTTCTTTCACTATCCCTTCTTCACAGATTTCATCCACGACAATTCCAGGCATCTTAATTTCCACAGACCCAATAAAAAAACTCTGAAAAGTCCAAGAAAGTGTCTGCAACGAAAGTCTCAAATACCTAACACACAGGATTACGAACAAGCAACAGTCATTACAGATCTACACAGAAGTAACATGTATTTTTTACAACCAAAGCAAGTACACGCACGAGCTGCATAATTCAAATTTCAACTCCAACCTATTAGGAAAACGAAACAAAAGCAAAGCAGAAATACAAAAACAAAACCTGACGTGCAACCCTCGTACAAATCAAGAAACAAGCTCGGCCGTGAAAATTAAAAAAAAAAAAATTTCCTCCTTGATTAGGTCTTCCAAAAACAAAAACGAATGAAGGTACCATTTAACTCCCCATAGAGTTAAACAAGCCGATTATGCAAATCGATGCAATGGAAAAAGAAGCACCAACGCCCATAAGAAAAGAAAAAAAAAACAGAGTATAGAGAAGAATCAAAACAAAATGTTATCGCAGTTGACCTCTCAAAATAATCCGATACAGATTCAAACAAAAGAAAAAAGTGGTATAAAATGCGAAAACACAGAGTTTCAGCATAGACAGAAGCAATACCTTAAAAATCAACCGTTAGATAAGTCATGAAGGTGATACAATCTTGAATAGGTTTTATATACAACTAAAAGAAACGAATACACACACAACACACAAAGATAAGATGGACGAAAATTCTACGATTTGGTGGAGTAGTATATATATTGAAGGGCGGAGGAGAAGAGAGAATTTTTTTTATAAAAAAAAGAAAAAAAAAAAAAAAAGAAAGGAATTGAGGGAAAGAGGGAGGGCAAAAAGGGGAAATGGGAAGGTGGAGGTGTGGAGATTTTTTGTTGCAGAGGTGGAATGTCAGAGAAGAAGGCGACTTCTCCCCCCAAATCGAACCGGGCGCGGCCTGCAACTGCCGATCCGTACTTTTGTCTTCGTCCTCTTCTTCACTTGTGTTTTGGATGCAACTCGCCACGTGGCATTCGGTGAGTGGGCAGGATGATGTAGAATGACGATAATGTCCCTTTTAGAATTAATTTTAATGGTGGTCAAAATTGAAAGGGTTTGACTTTTCCGGAAGTTTGGGTAGAATGTTAGATTTATGTGGACAGAGTGTCGTATTCATCAAACTTTGCTCTGTCTTCTTTTTAAACTTGATTTTGATTCCTAATCTTTATTTATTTATTATATATATATATTAATGAAGTAATTTAATCAACTTAAATTAAATTCTTCTTATATATTAAATTAGGGACGAAATTATCTTAAATTTACATTTAAGTTGATTCCCAAGATCTTTGGAGTTAGAAGAAAGTAGTAATTCATTCATTATGAATACTTTTTAACATAGAAAAGAATTAACAACTTTAATTAAGAAGAAGATAATAATGAAGTAAAAAAGCAGACAAGTTTTGGAGGATGTAAAATCAATAATTGCATTAACCCCTTCATCAAAACTTAGTGTCGGTGGATTAATTCCAAAATCTATTCATATAGATATAGATATTATATATATATATATATATATATAGAGAGAGAGAGAGAGAGAGAGGGTGGGAGGTCAAATTTCTTTTAGTATTATGAAATTCATTTAATTATCTCAAGTTCAAGTGATTATTTTAATTATTAAAAATCCTTGTTACCCATTTCAAAACAAAACAAAAATTCATTATGATTATATTAAGTGTAAAGTTAGATTATTAATGAGAATTAAAAGATATAATTATTGAAGCATGTAGTATCCAATGATAATGGATGATTAAATTTATATATTAATATTTATTTACTTATAGAAGATATTAACCATTCAATATTATTGTTATTAACAAAATCACAGGCTTAAAAGTTTTTGTTTTTATTATTATTATTATTTTTTATCCATTGAAAAATAAATTTTATTATGTGGATATCAATTTTGATTTGAGAGAATTAAAAAAAAAAAAAGGGAATATTAGGTGACTTGTTTAATCATAAATTAAAAATCAAGATTAATCAAATTTTTTAGTTTTTATTTATTTTTTTTATTTTTTTTACAAACACCGTATACTAAAAACATATTTTAAAATTAAAAAAAAAAGTTAGAAAATTTCATAATGAACAATAAAAAAAATATATGTAAGTTATAAGAATACCTAATGGCCTAATATTATAATTTATTTATTCACAATTAATCTATTATAATACTTAAAGTCTTAAATCTTACAATTTATTTAACAAATTATTCATTGGTTGAATGGGTATTACTTTTATATTTTTAAAGAGTACTAAAATATACATACATACATATGTCTATATGAAACTACTCAGAATTATTTGCCCATCAAAGTTGGCGAGGACTACTTGAGAAGCCCAAAATGCTTGCATTACACTTCAAGAGATGTGTACTTGTTCTCAATACCCAATAATCACTCCTCCTGTCAAATGAACATCAATGGCCGACCTTACAAAACTTCTGCACTACAAAGAACATGAAATGATGATACATAACAAACTTTCAGCTCTTCAGCTTCGAGCCAAATAATCATCTCTAACATCTCCAAAGAGAGAGAGGGCTCCTGTTCGAATCCTGCATAAATTGCAAGTTCAGATAGTTTTTCATTCATTCACCATTGATTTGAGCAAAGTGATTTTTTCTTTTTTCAAGAAAAATGAGTTAACTACAAACAAAGAAAATAAATTTCTTTCCAATATATTCAACACAAAGAAGGAAAATATTAAAGCCACTAAGTGGCCAATGTTTCAATCATCCAAGTCTACAAAACCTACACAGGAATATGATACACTTAAGAATCTCACACAAGCATTCCTAATTAAGCTTTTAAAGGAGAGTGCTGATGGCCACCAAAGCAATTTGGAAAGCATTTTAAAATGGTATACTTGGAGGAAGGTTTATATTTTGAGAAAAAATCTGGATCCTGTTCAAGAGACTCTGCATAGTGTTCCAAAATTAAAACTATCTCATCAAAATGTGGTCGTTTATCCGGATTGCTTGACCAGCATTGGTTAATCAGATGACTAAATGCTGAAGGACAATTGGAGGGCAAAGGAGGCCTTGCGTTCTGCACGGAAAAGAAATAAGCAATCAACTAATATGTATACGAATGAGGAATAAGAGAAGAAAAAACAAAATTCTAATTTCAGTATAAACCCTTTAGCAAGAAATATCAGAATGGATCTGCAAAATGGCAGATAAACATCTAAATATCTGTATAACATACCACACGCACATCGAACTGTAGAAAAAGTTAAAAGGGAACGTAAACATGGACTCTTTAAGAGAATGCTGCATAGGCAACAAGCTGACCAATGTTCTGATTAAAATTATCAGAGACATAGCAACTGTACCAGGAGCCATGTGCTGTCTCATCGCCAAAACAAATTAGGGAAATTAACATGAATGTTATCCATTAACTGGTATAGCTTGGATGAACTTGCTGAGGAAGAAAATGAAATCACATATGAAGAATATGGAAAATAGCAGGCCCTTGCAATGAGACAAGCCATCATTGGATATAAAACTAAGGAGATTTTAGAGCAAAGGTTGAGCCAAATGGGAAAACATGTAAATATATCAGCCAGCCTTGTTTACCGAAGAGCTGTGAGGCTGAATGACCCTTAACCACAGCCCAGCCCTGAAGGTAAGCATGTCAGGGATCAGACAAAAACCTGCTCTCAAACACCCACAGACCAGTAAATGTACAATATAAATTGACTGCATCATCTTGGAAATCAATAGACCAAGAAGCAATTTACCAATAAATTGGGATTAGCCAAGAAAACCTCCATCAGAATCATACTCTTCTTTGAAGCTATTCTCTGTCAAACTAAGAGAGGTCATATATTCGTTCTTAACTTCAATCCAGATCCCTCCTAGCCTTATACTACATCGAACCACTTCTGTGGATATATGTAACTAATGCCATCTGAGGCAGTGGAAATACTCCACCCAGCGTTCTATCAGTTAATAATTACTATTCTAGAGTAAGAAAATTGTAACTTACACACTGTTGGTCCAGGCCATCTGATGCAATGGAGTAGTGCATCCAATATTCTACCACTCAATAATCACTATTCTAAAATAAGAAAACTGTAACTTAGATATTCTTGGTCTTGGCAAGCCTAAACACCCAAATAAAGCAAGAGCATAGTTTATCTTCCCCACCTTTTTTGGACTAACTGACAATGAACAAAACCATGCCTTGATAATCTCCAATTTGTTAGATATAAAAAATAGTAAAGTTTGAATATTTTTCTATCAACTAAACTTCTGGTTAATTGGTTACTCAAACTAATTATTACATGTTCAACCCGATTCTTACATCTAATATCGAAATCAAGGTTGACGAGTTTCAATCTTCCACTAAGATGAAATTTCAGCCCAAGATACAATGGACTAGTTACTTCTCCATGCTTTCCACTTTGTAGACTTGCAAGCAAATAGTGTATGGGAATATAAATAGTAAATTCGAGTAATTTTATATCATCTTATTTTTTTTCAGATAATCAGTGACCAAACATTATTATTTCACACTATTAAAGCTAGATGAACAAAAATACTGGAAAAATTCGGGATCGACCAAGCAAACCTTCATTGTAATACTACTCTTATTGGGAGATATAGAGACGTCATATCTTTCTTCTCAACCTCAGCCCAGATTTCCTCTATCTTGGTACGCCATTCAAATGACTTTTATAGACACATGCAAAATAATGGCATCCGCTGCATTTGGAATATAGTCCTTCAAATATCTAGCACTCAATTATTAGTATTCCAAAATAAGAAAATTTAAATGTTCTTTGTCAAATCCTTAAAGCCTGTCTCCAAACAAGTGCAAGGTTCATTTTATTGGACTATCTGAATGGTCAAGAAACAAAAGAATACCTCACACACTCATATTTACTAGGATGTAAATAATAAAGCATTTTTTCTATCTACTTAAGCTTTTCAAATAATAAGTTATTTAATTTAATTATCTCACATAGTATTAGTTATTCCAATCTGGTCATCTGGCGGCTTGCATGCAAGAAAATATGTTAGAGTATCTATAATAAAAAAATTGAGTCATGTCTTGTTAAGTTAAACTTTTCAGATAATTGACATCCACCTTAGTTAATCATCACTATTAAAGAAAGTAAACCAAATAATCACCGGAATATTCTTCAATGTTATGGTTAAGTATCACGTTTCTTTCTGTTGGAAAACATAATCAATTTGCATTTGCATTTGCATTAGGCTCTAGAAACACTTCGTACTAGACCGCTTCAGCCATTTATATGACTGCAGTGGTTGGAATTCAAAGTATAAATCTATCAGAATTTTCAAAGATGCATATAATTCAATGGCACTAAGCCACTGTTTTTTTATTAAGTCATTTCCATATCCATTTTTCTCACAGTTTAAGAAAACCAGTAGTCAGGAGAAATCATGCCTCATATGCCAAAAATCATGTAATTGTAGCACGTGAAATTCATTATAATAAAGAACAATCATGCAAAAGATGAATCAGGTTGACTCTACCTTCTCAGAGACTGCAAATGCTGCCTGTTCAGGAGTCATGTTCTCGAATGGCGTCAATGCAGTTAAAAGCTCCCACAAGACAATGCCATAACTGTATACATCTACCTTCTTTGTATGGTGCTTCTCTCTGATCATCTCAGGGGCCATCCAGCGATAAGTGCCCGTAAATCCCTTTGCACTACCACACTGAGATTCTAAGCATGAAATACCAAAGTCTGCTACTTTGACACACATATCTTCTCCAAGCAGTAAATTTTCGGATTTGAGATCTCTGTGGAGTATACCTTGAGAATGAAGATATTGCATTCCACGTGCAATGTCAAGGGCTAATTTCAAAACTAGACTGAGTGGAATTGAATGTGGCTCTTGTTGATGAAGATATTTTCTTAAGGAGCCCCCAGCCATATACTCTGTAATAATACAGAACACTGGAGGTTTCTTACAGGCTGCAACAAACTGCAAGAGAAGAAGTGGAAGCTATAAGTCAACAAAACTTTATCCTGCTCCAAGACCCATTTAGGCACTCTCCTTACACAAACTCAACAAGGTCAAAATATAGCAACAACTTCCGCCATACCCATTAAAACAAATGAAGTCAAAGCCACAAACAACTCAATATGCAATAGTAAAGAAATAAAAAAGAGGCGAGATATAAAATAAACATGGTCAAATTTAGTGGAAGTGCAGCAATTTTATGACCCAGTAATTAAAAAATAGGTAGCAAATGAGTTATGGTAGCAGAAAAAGAGTTATGAAAGAACAAGAGTTTAGATAAGTCCAAAGTTACTAAAGTCAGAAGTCTCGCCAATGAGTCATAAAAGAGTAAGAACAATAAATATGCACATGTGTAATGGGTAGCAACATAAAGGGTATGACGAACATGTCTCAATAAATGCTTGATGGAAGTAGTTCAACAATGCAACAAAGCAGAATACCTGGGTAGGTAAGAAAATTGCTAGTAATCAAAGAAGAGAAAAAAATATAGGTGCAGAGACCAGGCTTTTTGATAAAAGAATCTATTTCATGGAAGCAGCAGATAACAAAGACACTAGAAATTTATCTTTTTAACTATTTAACTTTCAGTAAAAGTCTACAAAAATGCAAGCAAGAAACAGTAAAAATCCTTTAAAGAAATTAAGGAAGAACTTACGGTGATGATATTGGGGTGTCTCAAACGGAAAAGCAAAGCAACCTCTGAGGTGAACTGGTTCTCAAGAAAATTAGCCAAGCTCTCATCTTCCTCAGGTTGGCTTATAAGCTTAATTGCAACGTCTCGCTGCTTATATATCCCTCTATAAATCCTACTATGCCTACCCGAGGCAAATTTACTTCCAATAAACAACTGTGACATATCTGCACTCCATTCGCCTTCTCCTTCTCCCTTTATGGCCGCACCAGACGACACCAAGTACTTGGACCAAGACACTGCTCTCTTGTATTCTCCAAGAGAGAGCCTTCTCTCGGACTTGACATTGTTAGAGATTTGCGCAAACCAGGGAAATTTCTTCATGGCTCGGTGCCAGAATTTGACAAAATCATCAAAATTTTAAGGTCCCAGATCAGGCTCTTAAATCCAATGTGCACCCAGAATGCGGTTGACAATACCCAGTTGGAGGAAAAGTACAGGCGTAAGCTTGAAAATGTTGCACTACATAACTACATCTCGAAATTTTCAAGATTAATGGAGTGAAAATAGAGAAATGACAAAAAGCTGGCTAAAATCCGAATGAAAGTTGTATGATTAGCAGAGAATGGAGCAAGGAGTTTTCAGCTAAAAACACCAGAGCATTTAGAACCGAAAGTGGGTCGAAAAAGAAGCGGGTTTTGATTGAAGAAAGATAGAAGGACGGAGTTAGGGTGTGTAGAGATGCAAAGAGGACCTGGCGGTTTTAGTGTCTTTCTCCACCTCTCATCCATCAACATTCATAACGTGCGAAGATCCGCTTGGGAGGAGACAAACCGGGTCTTGTTGATTATGACTCGTGTTTCTTTCTTTTCCCTTTTTGCCCTTATCATTTCTCTCTATTTTCCGTCCACCCTTACCATCTTTTATTTTATACTTGCATATAAAATAATTGAAATTGTAGTTTGCTACTTCTCTCCTTTTTATAAAATATTATAGTTTCCATTTAAATTTTATATTTTATTTAATAATATGTATGTATATATATATATATATATCAATTAGTTAATAAAATGTATAAATTTTAAAAAAATAATAATAAAAATTAAGTGTTAAATTTTTTATAAAACTTAAATTTATAAATTCAACAATTTGGGTGGCACGAATTGGGACAACTAGTGAACATTTTGTTGTGAAATAAACAAATAGTCTCTCTGGGTTGGCAAAGAATTTTGGTAGGGTGATGGCAAAAATCAATGACCGACCGAGGGTAGAATGGTAAAAACACAGCTCGAACGCAAAACCCATAAAAGGGTAAATATGTAATTTCAAAATCTCAGAGGTTAAGCCTTCAACTTAGGGGGGGGGGGGGGGTAGGAGAGAGAGGTTAAATTAAATTAAATAAAAAGTTAAAAATAGGGAGAAAAATGCATTGAATAATATAATTATAGTAATTAAGTAATTTTTTTTTGGTTAAAAATGTTCAATAATTAGATTTTAAAAATTGTAATTAAATTAAAAAAATAAAAGCAGTTATTGTTGGGAGAAGAGAAAGAGTGTGGGACCCGGGGGGTGGTGTGTCGGACAAAAGCCGTATGGGTATGGTCCTCTTCCGTATACGGTCTATACCTTCTCTCTTATTTCCTATTTTTAATATTTTGTTTTCTGACAAATGACAAAAGCCATTAATTAAATAGGTCTGATCTGAGTAAGGCCCACCCGCTGCTTCTAACGCGTGAAGCACGCTCCATCACCCTTTAGCTGTGTTCCCGCTGGCAAACCCCATTTCCCCTTCTACCCACAACAATTCTTGCTCCATCATCCATCTATATTTGTATCTATACATACATGCACGTATACACACACACACCCCACCCCCACAATAATCAAATTAGGTTCGATAGAGAAGGAGAAACCAAATGTAATCATCAGGTTTTTTATTTTTTTTCTCATTAATCTTTACATATATTTCCTCCACAAAAATATGTTCTACAATTCATATAATTACATTTTTTTTTTTTTTACTTTTTTATGTTTCGTTATTAATAAACTTAATAATATATAAAATAAAAATATACTGATATTTTATCATATTAACTTATCTTACGAGACAAAAAATAAATTATTAATGTATAATAAATTTATAAATTTGTGTCCAAACAAAACAAAAAAGTATAATTTCTTTTTATTCGAAAAAGAAATACTTTTGCATGAAAGTATATATGAAATGTTATATATTCAATAATTAAAAATTGATATGATATACACATGTGACAAATAAATACGTAACAATGAGATACATATTATCTACTGATTAAATATAATATAATATTTTTTACATCATTAATTTATTAATCGTTATTTTTTATATTATCGTACATTTTATAGTCATTCTCTATTAATTATAATTTAATATTTTTAGGGATAAACTCAAATTAACAATCATCATATACCATTTAAAATAAAATAGAAATAATATATTTTCTCAATTTCACTCTAATTTTTCGTACTTTTTATCTTCATATTATTCCCTTATGTATTAGAATTAATAATATTAAGTTTATATCATAACATAGCATATTCCAATCTTCAATATGAAATAAAACTTAAATGTCAATGTTTATTTGCGTGAGAGCTAACCTCATAAAAAATTTTAATTAAAACTTTAATTATGATTATGAGTATATCTAAATGGTTTTGGATACATCAAATTAATTTAAATATAAACTACGTGATTTCAATTTAATGTACACAAGACAAAAATGTGCAGCGTATCCCACGCGCGACGCCTCAAGTTAGAAGTGAGCTTTAGTTAAAATCGTCCGTACCGCAGTAACAATTCCGTGATCTTAATTTAAATTAATTAAGAAAATTATTAATTTAATTAACCAAAAGTAGGTACTTAATTAAGAATCTAGAGATACTCCTGGCATAGTCAGTTTTTACCTAAAATACCAGTCACATTAAATTAAATTATATTTAAAATTAAAAATTAATTAACAAAAAACCTAGTAATTTAATTTTTCTGAGCAAATATTTAATGGTGGTAAAGTCTTTGTCACCGGTCTAATTCTAAAACCCAACAAATTATTTATTTATTTAAAAAAATTAGTTTATCTTTACACTAATTAGAAGATAATGTTAAATTAATTAACAATTATTTATTTTTTAATGTGTTGAAGCTGAAAGTTAGTTGATGAATCAGGTTATATGATCTCATCGAGTCCATGAAATGATTTCATATACATGCACATGCACATGCACATGACCCATGGCCATCCAATATTTTTTGGCATCCCAATAAATGATTTCTACTAATTACATACTAATCAAACCTTAATTAGGTTTAGATGAATGTAAATTAATCAAGAGTACTTAATTATACTCGCAAAATCAAATAAAGGTGGTATCTTGTGTTGTTATTGATTGATTATATAATTAAACCAAATTATTTGGTGTCGAATCATGATTTGGATTTCTTCTTGATTGGACAACTTATACGGTTGATGGGTATCATATACATATAATTAAATAAGAAGAAGATAAAAATAAAAATTATTGGTGGTGGATAGAGAATATTTTATAATGTATGTAGTTCAGATTTAATCCCTGCATGAACATGGGTGATGGAGGACACCACGTGAACCGTTTTGTATGCTTTCATGTAAAGCTACAGATGATTTTTTGGGTACTTCTCAGATGGACATCATTGATGGTCTGCCTCTCCTCTTCTTTCGACACGTGGCGAAACCCCATGAAATCGGTCCGTCCATAATTAAAGGTAGGCCCAGTATTACATTATATCAGCTGCCTAATTTTGATGGTATGGGGATGGACGGTGGATGTTTTGTAACAAAAATGAAAAAGTAAAGTTCGTCTTTGGGATGCGAGCACCGTACGTACAGCAACGAGAAGCTCATAAGGTAAACAGGAGGATAAATAACTTTTATATCTCCTATATATATATATATATATGGATATAAACATGTATAACTTTTTCATACATCCTATACTTGTCTATTACAAAAGTTCATTTGCATATTATAACTAAATAAAACAAAAATAGGTATAAATTTATTCAATTTATTCAAACAAATTATTTTTTTTCATCATGTCAAAGTTATGAATTAAATAACTCATTTTCTCAAAAAGAGTAAGTAATTCAAGTGAATAATATTATACTCTTTGGATAAGATTATTTCCCTTTCCCAATTAGTCTTCATTAAAGATGAACCATACAAGCGAACTTAATCATTATATAGAAAATTTTTCACTCTATAAAAGTTTAAAAAAAAAAAGTAAACAGATGTTAAATGTGATTTATAAAAAACTTTTGATAAGATAAAATGAAGTTTCTTAATTATAGTTTTTACGGTTATTGAGTTTTTTTTTAAAAAATTATATATTTATTCACTTAATGATTTCGTACTATATTCTATCAAATTATATTAAATGAAAAATTTATTAAAGTTTTTTTCTTTAATAATGACACATACAAGGAAGATCCTTTATCCCTATATTTATTTACCATTAGCATTTGTTCCCTTATCCTAACTTATTCATCAAATCAAAGCAAAACACCATATTCAGAATTTTAAACTCAAAATTGTCTGAACCCCCCTCTATATTACACTTATTCTTTGGTGATGATCTTATCTTTTTTACGATTGCCACACAAAATCATCTTTAAGTATACATGAATATGCTAAAAACTTCTTATGAGTGGTTTGAATAGACTCTTAACCCTTCGAAATCCTTTATTTATTTTAGTGATAATACTTCTCAATTTATCCAATTACATTTTAGACAAATAATCTATCTTTCCTTCACAATAAAGACCCAAAATATCTTAGCTTACCACTTAGAATTAATAGGAAATCAACTCAGCTATTTTCTTTGATTGTGGAGAAGCCAAAATCTAAATTGGTAAATTGAAAAAAGAATATTCTCTTATGTTAGAATAGTAATGTTAACTCAAAGCTAAAAGCGGATTAGAATTCTTAAGACTACCTGACTTCAACTTATCCCTCTTGGTTTAATTGGAATAATCTCTCATTAAGTAATAAAATTATACCCACTTTTGGACTCAACTATTGCATGTTAAATATTATAAGGGTGCAAGTCTCTTTTGATTACACTCTTAAGATAAAAGACTTACTCATTTGAAATGATGTATCAGAAAATAGGAAAATACTATTACGATGGATTTATAAGGATATTAGTTCTGGACGCACTATACATATCGCAAGGGATCCCTAAAAATCATCTTTTTATATATACTTTTTGCTACTAGAATATCACTATTATCAATCAACAATTCCCTCATAGTTCAATTGGAGTTATTTTTTATCTTTCTCTCCTTATGCCACTAGCGCAGAGTAATGGATGTAGAAACCACAACTCTCTTAAACTTGTACTACACACATTCCATATACACTAATTGTATTTATATTTAAGATTTATAAGTATCACTCTCTATTTATACTTTGAAAAATATTATGAAAATAAAATATATTATGCAGATATATGTTTGTATAGTGGAGGTTTATTCATTGTATTATATTAAGTGTGACTTTAGATTCTTCTACTCTTAATATTTCCTCATACAGGTTATGTTACTTAGACAAAAACTTCTATCAGTATATACTCCTATAATTTTTACTTATTAGATTGGTACAATTTATTTTCTCTTAAGAGAGTTAGATTACCTGCTATTCATCAAATAACAAGACAAGTATTCAAAGACCTATTTATAGGAAAAAAAAAAAAAATTATTTAATGTGCTAGTTATGCTAGACTAAATCTACATATAGAGAAATCAAAGTAATTGTTCATAAACACACAATGTTTCAAGCGATAAGCCATACGAAAGTACTACATAGAGACTACCATTACTACATCAAAACCTTGTTTATAAAGGAGTTATGTTTATTATCATCCTAGTTCACATAGCAAGATTAATGTTATACCTTATAAAATGCATAATCTACGTAGCTATATATAAGAAGTTGGAAAAAAGATCATGATACTTACTCTCATTACTAAAAAAAAAAACATTACCATTGTGCATTCCTCAGCATTGTTTGTCATAAGTATACATATATATATATATATATATATATATATATATTGATTCGGACTTAGTTCTTGGACCTTTTAATTTTGTAATTGAATCAATCTCGTCTCATAGGCCTACAGTTTTTACTTTGTATCTAAATTAACGATCATTTTGTCACTTGATCCAGACGAAAGGAAATATATTGGCTCGATAGCTTCTTCTTTCGACCAGTGTCTAGGGTTATATAAGTACAATCTCATTTCCTTGAAATGTAATACTAAATTCATATATATACATATATATATATATATATATATATATATATATTCTACACTATCATCAATAGAAAAGTGTACTCTGCATTAAGTTTGTATCAATTAGTATAATAATAAAAGTAAAAAAATCAAACGGTGATAATTATTTCAAATGTCTATGTAATAATTAATCTAAAATAAATAGAACCAACTATATTCTTAGATTGCAGAAAAAAAAGGTTAAGTAATAATTGATCTAACTTTTGTTTTATAAATAACTAATTTTTAATTATAATACCTTCATGTTTTACAAAAGCAAACCAATTGGTAATTTCTTCTTCACTAAATTTGTCTTGTACGACCAAATTTTTCTAAATCCATTATGATATAAATAATTATAATTCATACACATTATATTACCATTAAACTTAAATTTATAGCAAAATAGATTATAATACAAGCTATTAAGAATTATGAACACGTATTACAATTACAATATGCACATGTATATATAAATGTATCGAACAGCCGAATAAGATAATAGAATTTATCTTTTGTCAATAACATTTTAGTTATTCTTTAATCATATTTCAATATATTTTTATAGATCTTATGAATCTGTGATAAATAGAAGCCTAAAATTTTCTCATTTAACCTTTAAAATTTTTTAGTAGTAGTTTATAATTTAAAAAATTGATGTAATAGTTAAAAAAAAAAAACAGTAACCCAAATTAAACTATAATAATTTATAATGACCCACATATACATATTAGGCATATATGTATGTATATGTAAGATATTTGATTAATATATGTATATAAAAAATTAGGTTGCTAGGAAGCATTAAAAGAGAGGAGAGGAGGAGGTAAAGGGACATTGTGGACCGGAGGTTGTCGTGTTTGTGCGGTGTAGTGCACAAGCATTAGAGTTGGTGTGGTGGCAGAGACAGTGATGAAGAATTCGTGTGTGTGATTGGATTGTGTATGGTCCGTGCGATGTACATAATTGCATGTGATTTTTATATTTATTTTTTAATTTGTTATTTTTAATGTTTTTAATCCATGCATGGTTTATTACCCATATCAACTTTATTTACCAATAATTAAATAATTTTCATGTTATATAAAAAATTATATTTGTAATGTATGATAAATTGAAAAACATTTTATGAAATCCATTTTAAGGTACCCTAATATTATTTATATATTGGGCTGGTGGGCTATGGATAAGGTCTTACTAAAAATATGATGAGACTGCTATTAAGACCAAAACTCAAAATTAAGAGACTCCAATTTTGATAACAGAGTAAAATACTTTTTTTTATATAAATTTTATTGGAAATTTACAAACCTAGATAATGCTTACATTATTATAAAGGAAAAATTTATAAAAAGAAAATTTTGGTTTTAAAAATATATTTCTGTACAAAAATAAAATTGATTTTCATCATCAACATAGCAATTCACATTCCTCTTACCAACCTAAAAAACACCGGAGATCACATTGAGTCGCGAGTACAAAGACTGTAACCAGAGATGAGGGAGCTGATGGCAAAGGCAACGAAAGCCAAAAACGCCATTGCAACTGAAGCACTAGCCATTATTGTGAACTCATCTTTCCCCCAATTAGATTGCCAATCATCAACTCGTGTGGCTGCCGCAGATGAGGCCGATATCAATAGATATGCCAGTATCTGTTTTATAAACAAATGATACCAGCTCAGCAAACAACTAAATGATCCAATTCGTTTCTGTTATGATAAAAAATTTCGACCCCCAGCACTCAGTTTAACACTGCTTTCACTTAAAAAACAAGTACTATCTGCAAAATGCAGGTAGCAATATAGTAAACTGTATGGTGGGTTTGAGCATTAGCTCAAAAAAAACATATGGTAACTGCAAGTTGGGCAGGTCCAAGCTTTATATTTTACAGAAAGCAGCGGGAGGTGTTTGATTCAAGCAGAATTGATTCCAATTGATTCGATTCTCAAATAGTATATAAGACAATGGTGTCGAAAGCCATGCCAATTCAAAACTGAAGCCAATATAGCCAATCAGTCATGTGCAGAAGAAGGATATTATTAGAGTTGAGAACTGCCAACAGAAAAGTTCAATATTCATCTGCCATAAACAAGTATCAGATGAATTGGTACGTTAGACTCCAATGTCAAATGGTATAGTTTTTAAGACAAACCCATTTGAACAAACATTGAATCTATATGGATACAGTGGTGTTGTTAAAAGGTGTAAAGTTGAAGAACTTGCCTGATCCATGAAGAAATCGAACGGACGACAGAGGTGCTGGTGGATCAAATGCTTTCCTTTGCCCATATAGTACGCTAGGCTATATGCTTGGAATCCAGAATATACAAATCCAATAATATTGACAGATAAACAATACCTACAAACAAAAAACTTCCATTACCTTCATTAAAGAATGAAAAAGATGAAAAGTGAAATACAAAAAACGAGAACAAAAACAAACTGCTCTGCACGGATTAGGACATTGAAATTAAACTTAGCCCTTGATCAAGCAACATTAATGCAATGAAATTCCAGTAAGTTTATATTAACTTTCTATAAAAAGTATGAAAATAAAAGATGAAGTGTATCAAAATTTATGGGCCTTTCAACTTTACTTCGTGTTTAATAATTTCTCATGAATGAAACTGGTCAAGTCTGTACTCCTAAAGAGTCTTAAGCATTAATCAATAATCTTTATAAATCTTAATTTAAAGATCATAACAGGAGAAGAAAATTTTACCTCTTGTTTTGGACAACGTCAAGATTATTCATTACCATCTTAACTCTAGAAATGGACAGTACTGACCAGAAAAAACAAATTAAGCAAAAAGAAAAAAATGGAGAATAACAGAGGAGAAATCTAACAAACCTGTATTCTTTGTAGCGATCATAGGAATCCCCACTCCATCCCTGCGTCTTATCAGCGGCCATAACAGAGAACGAAATAAGGCACAAAACAAACTCGCTTAACCTAAAACCTAAGGCGGCCATCTTCACCGTCTCCCCCATTTTCGACCTCCTCAGAATCGAATTCATCGAACCTGATCCACCGACGGATGCTGGCCCCACTTTCGTCGTTCCTTGGGGGCCATCCTCTCTCACCGCTCGATTGAACAACACCACCGGCGACGGAGACTTGGCAGCCGCCGCAGCATTTTCTGGCAGACGCGGTTGCAACGGAGACGGGGAGGGAGTGAACTGAGTGGACTTGTTGACGGCTACTATAGCCTTGGAGTTGTCCGGAGGAGGCTTCTCCGGCGAGCCGACCGGAGAGACATAAGGTGGGGTCTCCGGAGGGTCACCTTGGTCGGATCGGAGAGGTGAGTGGAAACGGAGAGGGGAATGGGGGGAGTCGAGTTGAGTGTGAGCATCGGAGTTGGATGAAGATGATCTCTTCATGGTTGGGGTTTGGGTTTTAGTTTCCATTAATTTCTTGCTCTTTCTCGGGATTTAAGGAGGAGAAGGAGAAAAAGAAAAGCAGGAGACTTTAATTGCGTGTCTTTGATGGTGGGCCCACGAACACGTGGCATATTTAATTTCTTACTCAAAACTACGGGAGTATTGGGAAAATACATACATGTTTATTCGCTCATATTATAATATCCATTAAAATATAGCCACGTCATGGGATAGATGATATGGCGGTGTATGATTCGTTGGTTTTGGTGAATATAAAGATATTGATGTACAAGATCAAATGCTTAGTCTAATGACACTTCACTTTTCCTCTTTTCTTCCTCAATAAGAGAGCGTGTTTTTTTTTTTTTTTTGGGGAATTTTTTTATTTCTTTGGTTACATTTACTAATTAGGAAAGTATTTATTTATTTATTAATATTTATTAACCTTAAAGTTTATTAATATATACCTAAGTTAAATTTATAGATTTCATACATATCTTTAATTAAATAACTATTTTTACTAAGGATTAAAAAATTAAATTTTCTTGCCAATATAATAATTACTAAAATTCAATATATTTTACTAAAACAATATTTATCATTTTCGTTTTAAATTATTTAAAAGGTGTCTATTTATATAAAAAATGGTTCATGATATTTTCTTATTTTTTTTTTAAATTTATATATTCAGATTTTAAATATAAAAATAAAATTATCGTGAAAGTATATATAATAAATATTAATATTAATTTTTAATTAATTACAAATTATGCACTGTGTAACTTGTAAATATGAAAATAATGTTGATAATGTATATAGGAGTTATCTATTTAAACTTTTTAAATATAAAAATAAACTTTAATTTTTAATTAACCACAACATATATTGTGTAAATAATTTTTTTTGTTGGAATATTTTTGTTATCATATTTTTAAAACTAAACTTTAAAAGTAGGACAAATGAGTTGAAGCAAATTTGCATCATATACTAGAAATTATGAATAATAAATATAAACACAATAAATACCAAGCAACTTTAGATTCTAAGGAGTTTCTGATTTTGTGATTTTGTTTTTGTTTTTTTTTTGGAAATTATATGAATGGTGGTGTTTGCCAAAAAGAAAAGAAACAAAGAAAGAAAAGACAATACAAAACAAAAATTAAAAGTCATAACGTCCAAGAAAGGTGTCAAAGGATTCTAACAGTGAAAGTTCTTTTGAGTTTTCTTTATGAGTGGGCTATTCTTTTATCACCATAAAGCTACAAATTCTTCCCTCAACTTTTCTTCATCTTCTGCTACAAAGATTCCTTCCAACACCATATGCCAGAAACAAAATATACATACATACACACACATATATATATATATATATATACATCTCATTAGCTCTATAATACAAGCCTTGATGTCTCTAAACTACAACATGAAATCCAAGTTGTTGGTTCTACAATGGGACCAAAACACAGTAATACGAAGTCATCTCAGTCAAATTGAAATTGTTAACTCTATAATGAAAATATCATTGCAAGAGTACCTTGCTCATCTCTTCGAACAAATTAAGTTCTAAGCTTCAAAAGAAATATACCTAAAACACCCATGTAAAGCATCCCCGACTTGCTTTCTATCCCAGTTCATGTTAAGGATTTTATGCAATCAAATCTGCCTTCAATGGCTAAATTAACAAAAAGAAACCCACCACCATTCTTTGCCTCTCTTTACTTTTTAGGACAACTGGAAATTTTTATGCACACTTCTTCAATATTGATCACTTCTAAGCTTCATATGTAGGGCCATTTATCAATCTAATCGATGATCTTCACAGCTGTTGTTAGACAATCACACGAGCAAAACTGGTATGTCAACAAAAGTTTTGAGCTTGAACTTTCATTATAATGGAACAGAAAGGTGAATAGAACTGGCAACAGGAGAATCCATCAAGCACAAAATGGGGATTTATGACAAAAAGATCCGGCTATAAGAATACTAAAAAATTATTGTCAGAAAAGCAACTTAAGAAAGACCTGCATATCATGCAAGCCTTTAGATCCTATTACAAGTGTATAAAGAACTTCACATCATAAAGTATACGTCTATACAACCTATAAAGGAAATAAAGCCATAATGCTATACTTTGCTAGGTTTATTTGCTAAATTCTCAAAAACAAACAAACAATATACACAGTCAGTAAAAGCGGGAGAGAGAAGGAGAAAACTCAGATGTAAAAAGGGCATAGAAGGAAAAATGCCAAACACCAGCCTCCCACCACCAGATGAGAAAAGGAAAATCAAATGGAACACCAAAAGATGTACCCTAATAATTGTGGACAGATAAGAACCATCGTGTCATAATGCTTGAGCTCTTGTCAGGTAAAACCCTTAACAGTATTAAAGTGACTTAGTCTGGTAGTCTTAAACGGTTGAACAGCACAAGGAAACTCTGTTCGGGGACGATGTAAAGGAAACCAAGGTCTGCACCCTTGACATATGGTCCCATTCCCTAAAAGGACATCAACAGAGACAAAACATGTTAAAAAACAAAAGAACAAAACATCAGTGGCCATTAAGGGTGGGCTTGTACCTAGAACAGCTGCTAGCATAGATGCTGAAAAGTTTCATTACCTTGCCATTGAGTTGTAGAAGCTCGCCATCTACCCATTGGGGATTTTGGAAACCAAATTCAGCTATTCTTCCTTGGCCTTTGTAACTTGCAACCTGGACATTGAGATCTTTACAATGAACTGAGAGTCCAAAAAGTCTAAAAAGATCAATTGATGAAACTAACAGGATATCTACAACAATTTGAGGCAGTTGATCTTAGGGGGTACTTCTAAGGTGCCTATCCAAAGAAAGTACAGTTAATAAGTAATACTCATGTGGACATAATAATAGTTGAATGATGATATGCCGTGCACAAAAATTCGCAGAAGATTGTCAAATAAACATGTATATTAAAATAAAGATTTTTCATTTAGTTGCCTATTAGTTTTTTTCAGTTACCGAATAGTCTACAAATAAGAATTAAACTAAATAAAGATATTATAAAAAAGTATAGAAAGAAGAACTAAGAGCATGAAGACAGCATAATCAGTGATTTGTGGTTTCCAGTTAGAATTTGGTAGTCTGCATGTAATTTACAGTCTTGATCCACCCGTGCAATATTCAATAACACTGAATGAGGCTACTGTTGGGAGGACATAAAGAAGAGTATATTAGGTAGAGAGTGAACTCCCTCACTATAGGTGTGGCACAGATGTGAGGGGAGTAATCCACGCTCATCTTGCTCCACTATCATTCTTAATTCAGGTGGACACATTATAATGTTGATATATAATGCTTTATTTGGATAAATCAGCTGTAAAATTGGCAAAAATAATGGAGAAGCTTATAATTGCAGTAACAACAAAGCATGGCATGAAAGAATGAAAATACGTGCTTGCATGTGAATGATTGCATGTGTAATTTAAGCATCTCCAGCTTATATTTTTAGGAATATGCGAAAGCAATTATCCTTCATACTGTATCACCAAAATTTCTGTTAGAAACTTCTTGTTTGCATTCCACAAATGTGAATAGCAAGCCCTCCACAACACAGGCAAGGGATCTATTTGTCTCAGTAGTTCTCAAGTTTTGGGATTCTGAAATATAGAAGGCGTGTAGAGAGAAGGAAAAGAAGGCAGGTGTGTTATTCAATTAAATTTTTTTTAAAAATAAACTACTAATTTTTATTACATGTTTTATTTACATTTAAAAAATATATATAAACTGATTATTCTTATTCTATTTGAACTCTAATTATAACATATAATTATATTATTAGAACTCTAAATAATATAATATTCTACTTATCATGAAATCCTTATCAACACTCCTCTTCAAGTTGGCGCAAAGATATCACACATGCCCAACTTGCAAATTAGGTTCTGAAGAGATTTGTTGTACAATCCTTTAGTAAAAATATCAGTCACCTGGTTACCAAAAAATACATGATATAAGTATAGAGAGCCACCAACCACCTTCTCTTTTATGAAGTGTCGATCAATCTCAATGTATTTTATTTTATCATGTTGAACTGGATTATGAGCAATATTAATTGCAGCTTTATTATCACAAAAGAAGGATAGTTTCTCATCTCTAAGCAGTTTTAACTCCCTCATTAGCTTTTGCAACCATAGTACTTCACATATTCCTTGAGCCATTGTTCTATATTCTGTCTCAGCACTGGAGCGAGCAACCACACTTTGTTTTTTACTTTTCCATGTAACTAAATTGCCTTCTGCAAGTGTGCTACCTATAGTTGATCTTCTATCATTTGGGAACCAGTCCAATCAACATCTGTAAATTTTTTTATTTTAAAGTAACCATACTTAGAAAAGAGCAGACATTTTCCTGGTGCAGATTTCAGGTATCGTAATATGCAGAAAACAACATGTAAATGAGTCTCATGGGGATCATGCATGTACTGTCTCACAAGATTAATGTATATGCTATATCACATCTATAATGTGAGAGATAAATGACTTTTTCCAACTA